CCAATAGCTACCGCATGGAATGCAGGTGATGCTTGGGATCATCATGGGGGTCCAACCCAAGATTTGCACGACTCTGACTTTGAATGTTACAGTCATTGTGACATTGAATTCCAGGGTGGAAACATCAGTTTAATTGTTTTAGTGACCAGAAAACAAATTTTGATATGCGTCGGCTTACCCAAAATGAAAGGTTACGTGCCCTTGGCATGCTACAGATCGGCACAACACAGGCGGTTGTGGCGCGGACGATGAATGTTTCTCAGTCTGTCATAAGCAGGCTATGGTCCAGATACCGTGATACACAATCTGTACAGGACAGACCACGCTCAGGTCGACCAAGGGCGACAACTCAAGCCCAGGATCGATTTATCCGTACCTTGGCCTTGAGAAATCGTGTCATCACAGCAAATCAGATCAGCGCTCGTCTTCAAACAGACACTGGTGTGAGAGTGAGTGGCCAGACGATTCGGAATCGACTGCATAGGGGTCACCTTCGCGCCCGACGTCCTCGCGTGATCCCTTGTTTGAGAGATCATCACATTCAGGCAAGACGTCGTTGGTGTAGGGATCGTCAACACTGGGATAATCGACGCTGGAGCAATGTGATGTTTTCAGATGAGTCAAGGTTCACTGTTGATTTTTTGGACAGACGTAGGAGGGTGTGGCGTCGTCGAAACGAGCGCTTCCAAGACGTTAACGTCATCAGACATGATCGATTTGGGGGTGGTTCTGTTATGGTGTGGGGAGGCATCACTGTTGCTGGAAGAACGGCTTTACATGTTGTTGCAGGGCGTGTTACAGGCCAGTACTACCGGGACAACATCTTGGCAGTCCATGTTGTGCCGTTCGCACGACGTCATGGCCGCCGTTTCATCTTCCAGGATGACAACGCAAGATGTCACAGGGCCAGGATCGTTACAGGTTACCTCCAACAACAGAACATCACCACATTACCTTGGCCAGCACTGAGTCCCGACCTCTCCCCCATCGAGCATGTCTGGGACATGCTTGGACAGAGGTTACGTCAACGTCAACAAAGTCCTGCCAATGTCCAAGAACTTGCTGCTGCGTTGCAACAGGAATGGGACAATCTGGACCAAAATGACCTTAGACGTCTCATTAGGAGTATGCCACGTCGGATCAATGCTTGTTTGGCAAACAGAGGAGGATTTACCCGTTACTGACTTGGTTGTGATGCTGTGGTAACTTTGCTGTTTGACCCCGGGTATCATTTTACCCTTATAATGGTCAGTCTGTGCCTTACTTAGTCTAACGATCATTTGGAATAAATCGATGAATGTGAACTTCATTTCATTTTGTCATTTGTTTCTTCGTCAGTTTCATTAGGTGACTTTAATAACACTTAAAAATCAAATATCCCCTACTTTTTTTGAATAGTATATGATTCAAGAGTTATGGTAAGAATTTACTTTATCCTTTGCTATGTATCAATCGCTATTTGACACTTTTTGACATAGTACTTATGATTTATAGTTTAATTTAGTATTCTTGTAGTGAAAAATGCATTTTCAAGAAGGCATACTCTTGAATGAGAAAAAAAGTAGTTTGCAAGGTTAAGTTAAAATAGCATCCAATCGTACCCGTAGCTATAAAAACATGCAGGCCAGAAAAACACAATTTCTTTTTAATGGTTTTTTTTTACTGTTGTGTGATTCTTTCATATGTAAATGTCTTAATTTAAATAAAATTTCATAATATATTCAAAATTAAAATTGTAATAAACAACAACACAGACCAACATGTTTAGCAAGTCTTTGTGGCTATATATAAATCTATGTTTGAATCAGCTGTTATAAATTTTGTTACTGAATTCAGTCAAGGGATCTTTTAGGTGCATTCTGTGTACACCGGGACCTCATTTTGTTGTTCCATCCAAATGACTAGACAGCTGTCCTTGTCAAGGCTCTGTACTGCACCACTGGGGAAACCATGCCGGAAAATTGGAATGAACTTTCTCAGCCAACACGTGGAGCAAACGCACGACCTCCGAGCTAGATAGCCAGTGTCTTACCCATTTAGCCACCATGGATCCCTGCTCCTTGTGTGCAAATAGTGTAAAAGTATGTAATACGAAGGTTGTGGACCCTCCAGAGATCACAATTTTTGTCCGATTTTGATGAAACTGAAAATATATGTTTATATACCAAAAATCTCAGTTCTTTTCGATAGTCGTGCATTTCAGACCATAACTTCCTGGATTATGGCCCCTGATTGTACCAAAAAATTGTGTTGGTTTTTTTTTTAGCTTGTTCTCTATTCATCTCTTGTACAATGTGAACTTAGCTTGCATAGCAACCCCTGGTTTCAATTCAATCTTAGCAATTAAAAATTAAATGTGTGCCTCGCATAAAAAAAGATATTTTCATTGACATTTTTGGTCTTACCACACTACATTTGTAAATGTTTAGCTTTGAAATGGAATAACATTGAAGCATTATAATATAATTTAGGCAAAACTGTGCATTCAAAACTGTTAAATTTTCTTGGGATGCTAAACAGAGGCTTCTTCAGGTAGCTAGGGAAATAAAATGAAATGGGGGTTGAACAGATAGCTAGGGATAAAAATACCTTACCAGAGCTATGCCTTGACTAGCTGAAATTATTCACCTAGTTATATATGTTGGAAAAAAGAATTTGGATTGGACAGGCAACAGAAAATATAACAATTATTGTTTGGTGTTGTTCGGGGTTTTTTTGAGCATGAGCCTAAGAATACGCCCATTGCCAAGGCGACACCTGTGATTCTGTCACCAATATGTTTTATATGTGGTTAGCCATCTTGTATGATAGCATTTACCTTCTATGTTAAAGAACATTAGGGACTAATGAAACTAGTGAAAGAATGATATTTTTGATAAATCAAAATGGACAAATCAAAAGAATTTGATCAAACACACTGGACGATGAAACAATACAGATACAAATACACTTCCTCTCTGGGGTATATGTACATGTGTCCAGAAGCTTCTTAATTTGTAGTAGTTCTCAAGCTATTCTTCATGGAGTGCTGACAAGGCAATCAAGCATCAATGGGACAATATTAGACATTGTCTCTCTGAGGGTCCCCAACTTCAAAGTCTCTGTCATTTGGAATGAGCATTGCAAGTAGAGTGGGGAAAGATCCCACATGTGTCATGTAGGGGCTTATATCCTCTGTACAGTGATGTTGCATGGCATTTGTAACTGCTTCAGGAGGACACACAGGGTACTAACTTTTGACATTTATCCCATGTGCCTATGTAAAGTTGTTATGGCCTCTACAATTATCCATATATTTTTTTTTATTGTTGTAACCCCCGTCCATCCGTTAGTCCATCTGTCCACAATTTGTTTGTAGACCCTCTACAGGTCACAATTTTTATCTGTTTTTGATAAAACTTGAAATATAGGTCTATCTCCCAAAGATCTTAGTTCCTTTTGATATTTGCATGTTTCGGACCATAACTTCATGGATTATGGCCCCTGATTGTACGAAAAATCACGTTTTTAGCTTGTGGACACTCTATAGGTCACAATTTTGATTCGATTTTGATGAAACTTGAAATACATGTTTATAACCCAAAGATCTTCGTTCCTATCGATATTTGCACATATCGGATCGTAGCTTCCTGAATTATGGCCCCTGATTGTGGTCCCTCTAGAGGTAACAATTTTTATCCTATTTAAAAAAACGTTTTATATATCACTGTTACACCCTAATGATGGTTGAGTTCGAATTTCGAGAAAATCGGGCCAAAACTGCCAGACAAAATGGCCGTCCCTTGTACGCAAATAGTGTAAAATATGGTATATCAAGGTTGTGGACCCTCTAGAGGTCACAATTTTTATCCGATTTTGCTGAAACTTGGAATGCAATATTTATATCCCATATCGCGCATATCGGATCGTAACTTCCTGAATTCGTCGCTTTTCTGGCGAACCGGCGAATCTGAAATATTTAAATATTGAGAATCATGCATTTGAAATTTCCGCTCTGTTGTTATCTCCATGTCCATCAAATAATAACGTTTATGTAAATCACGTTCCGTGTCCTGATGTATATGTATGAAATATTAAATCATAAATAAATGTTAATATTTGGTGGCTACAGAGATAACAACAGAACGCAAATTTCAAACCCTGATTGTACGAAAAATCACATTTTTAGCTTGTGTATTCTGTAGAGGTCACATTTTTTTTCCGATTTTAAAAAATCGTTTAGATATATCACCATTCCACCATAATGAAGGTTGAATTGAAATTTCAGGAAAACTGAAATTTAACTGCCCGACAAAATAGCCTCTCTTTGTACGCAAATTGTGTATAAGTATGTAATACAAAGGTTATGGACCCTCTAGAGGTCACAATTTTTATCCAATTTTGATGAAACTTAAAACATATCTTTATATTCCAAAAATCTCAGTCCCTTTTCAGACCATAACTTTTTGAATTATGGCCACTGATTGTACAAAAAATCATTTTTGATTTTAGCTTGTTCTCTGTCCATCTCTTGCAAAATGTGGGCGTATCCTGCCTGGCAGCCGCTGGTTTCAATTGATAAGATATGTATATCTCATTGAAATGAAGAAGCCTATTGATTTTCAATAATCACCTGCAAGCTCCAGGGCTACTTTCCTTGTTAAGAAATTTTGTCAGGTGGAACTTTATAGACTGTAATTATTAACCTATCTTTCTGAAATTTACATTGGTTGTCTATTCTATTAATGGGAAGAAAACCATTTGCTTTTTATTGATATTGAATTATAGCCTATGACTACTTTGTTATAAAATCTTGTTAGTTTTAATTAGCTTTAATTAGCTTGATAACTACTTTGACGACTTAGCTGCTGGCATGCATATGTTTCATTGCCTGTACCGATATGTCATTCACAATTGTTTAAGTTAAGAATGCTATTGAGAACATGATAGAATACAGCTGCAGAGGATCATAGGATTATTTATTTTGTTATATAAATGTTCATATTTTTTGTTCTCTTTCAGCAGCACCCATTCCAAAGACTGAAGACACAAACACATCATGGCAGTACATATACCTGGAATTATAGCTATAGTGCTTTTTTATTCACTTATATTAGGTGTGGGATTATGGGCTGCCCGGAAATCAAAACAAACAGGACAGAGTGCAGATAGTGAAGATGTGATGTTAGCAGGGAGAAACATAGGAGTACTTATCGGTATATTTACAATGACAGGTAAGTAACAGGACTTAAAATAAGTAATGCCTCATTGTTTCCCAGAAAAGCATACTGATTTAGTTAAATGATATAGATAATTTACACAAAAAGTATTTACTTTTGTTTAATTTACATGCGTGAAAACAAAGATTTGCACAGAATCAGCAGATCATTACTAGAACACAAGGCATATAGAATATAGGTGTACTTTAAGCTATGAATACTAAAAATTGGATAGTTCCTACTTTTGCAAAAAGTAGCATCAGCTGGAGTATAATAATTTAACAGAAAACCATGGATTTTCAAAGTAGTAGACGGGTAGCACATCAAACATCAAATAACGCATAATGCTTATGAGGGGAAGGTTATTTATTACAAAATCTTCCACTCAAATTAAATCTTTTCATAACAAGAGACTGAAGAGAAAGCCAAGTAGTTATGAATAGCTTTTTATAATTTAAAAATAAACACTTCACTTGTGATCATAATGTTTCTTCATTTACCCTTGACAGTAGAATCCTGAAGGCATTGTTCCTTTAAAAAGCAATACTTTTGTCATAATACTTATTAACATACTATTAGGATAAATGATGAGATGATTTATGTTAAAGAACCATGAGGTGATGTAGAACATGTCTCCCGTCGATTTTCAGCACCTATTTGCTATTCTTTGCATGTTTTTTGTACTTTGAACACGGTCATCTAGAGATTTATATTTCAATATTTCACTTCCTTTTCCCAAGTCCGCGACCACAGAAAGTGTGCCCTTAACTAGATTTGTCTACTGCCCAGACCCACATTTCAAAAATACTTGATCCGTGCTTGAGGTAACATGGAAACAATATTATGATATGTATCCAATGAGGAAACCAGTTTAAGTTGTGAAAATTTAAGTGATTATACCATATTTGCAGACATTTTTGTATAATTGTAATTAGTGATCCCCAATTTCATAAACTGGTACTATATTGGGAATTAAAGTGTAGTTATCATTATAAGCAATGATGTGGTAACTTAATTAGTTTTTATCATATGGTATAATAATTGTTCGAATAAAAAAGGTGAGGCTTCAAGCTTATATATTTCATTATTCTTTGACATGAAGCATCAAACAAAGCAATTTTATGCTCTCGCAATTCCTTCCCTTCTAGCAAATTCCATTGAGAAAACAAATTTCCATTGTGGAAGCAAATGCGTCCTAGTACGGTGAAGTTCATTATGAGTTGCTGAAGCATAAAAACAGACAGAATTCTATTACAGGAAGAAAACTGTTAGTTCTGTGTTATTGGACATTATCTTGTTAAAGACGATTCCCTTAGGAACTGATTATTAGTAATTTGTCTTATATTAGAAGAGAATATCACAGAATATATGTTGTCATTTTCAAAAGATATTTTTAGCTGGTTTGCTATTGAAAGAAATGCAAATTAAACTCTTAATAGGTGTTAAAAAGACATTTTTTGTGGGATTTAAGATGATTTTAAATCTGCCCTGTTATTGAACATAAAACTGTTGGATGCAAATGGGTTTTTTTCTGACAATTTTGACTATTAGTCTAAGATAAAAGAATTATGTCTTTTTGATTTTCGCAAATATTAGTCTTTTTTTTTTCATACATACATGTTTTCAACTCTTCTTTTAAAAAATTGTCATTGGTATCCTTTAGTATTTGTTTCTGGTTTCATCGTGTAGTTGGTTTTGTTGTATGTAGTATATTCCACCTGCACTTACTTTTTGTATGAAATTTTGTTAAGTATTTTAATCTTGCATTAAATTATCGAACAGAGGCTGAAAATTTGAATATCGAATCTATTTGAAAACCAGCTGCTATCTTTATGGGAAACAATACCTGAATTTGTGACATCCTGTGCAGTAGGCATTAACCTTGTCTTTCTCTGATAATTTAAATACTGTTCGGTTTAGCTCTATCATTTATATTCATATTTATTCATTTTTTAGTAAGACTGGGGCATAAGTTAGTCATCAAAAAGAAAATGTTGACAGGTTCTTCAAAATAATTGGAAAATTATTATTTTATTGAAATACCTAAACAAGTTTTTTTTTTTATAAGCCTTTTTTTTTTTGATTTTGTATTGGCAACTATAGTGATGTTCCTAAATATGTAAAACTATATTGGCAATTCAAATTTCTATTTTTTATGTGTGATTTGACTTGCAAAAATTGTCAGAATAAAATGCTAAGTTATAATTTTGTTCTGTTTATTTTTTTGAGGCAACAATCTTCTATAAGATAATCTTTTCTAATAACACAGGAGAGTCTTACTTAAAATGGACTTTTTCCTTTTTAAGTCGGGCATAAAAATGAAATTATTTTTTTGAAAGTGGTTTAGGTGTGTTTTTTTTATCACTGTAAAAATCATTATTTTGATAATTACCCAATCTCTGTTTGTTCTCCTGAATGTCTTCTGGGTTTTGTTTGATTGATTGATATGAAAAAAATAATTATTTACAACTAATATGGTATGACTCTAAAATTAGAAACTTCTCAATCTGTCTTTTACGGTATATTTTTAAAAATAGTTTATTGGATATCAACATGACGTTTAACACATGTTCTGGTGAGAAAATATTTTTTTACCAAGTGAAGCTGGATAATTCTGTAATGTATAACTTGACAACAACACTGTTTTTATGGCACACCAAAAAGATTGATTTTTCAATCTCCTTACCAATTCTACCCGCCATGTTCATCTATCACGACACGTAACGACAATCAATCAAACCTCCCAATTAAAACCAGTGTGAGTTTACTGCGTCAAGACCAAAATAAAGTCAGTCCCAATGGGAAATTGCTCCACAAAATTCTATTGAATTTTCTTGATTTCTCCACCTTTTTACGGGTTACATATTAATCATTCTACGCCTCTGACATTCAGTAATCGTATAGTCACAAGGGCAGACAGCTTTAGCTGCTACCCACACTATCTTGTTACCTTAAAGATAATTTTAAAACTCTCATGGGATTTTCTCATAGTGCTACTTAACTGTAAATAATATTAAGCTAATACTTTATTAGTAAGGTTTATTAAGGGGTGTCACAGTATGTGTTTTGTACATTTATTACAGTTGGTATAGCTATCCAGTATCCAGTCAGTGTTATCAGAAAAAGTACAAATGATCATTTTCAAAAGAAATTATTACCAAAGGAATAATTGCCAGAAAGTAGAAAATAATTTTAAAGATGGGTATCAAAGACATCAATAGGACCTTAAACCCCATTTCATTTCATTTTCAAAGACATTTAATTGTTAGGTTTTGATGAAGTCAAGTTGACCAACTGTACAAATTATCCCATTAAGATATCAGTGATTTTACATCTGACAGTTAAATTCCTACAAAATTCCATTAGCCCTTGAGCAGACATGGTAACCAGTATCTTGGCGATTGTTGGTAAACCTCTTATCTTTATTTGCTATGACGCGGTGGTTCAACATCCATTTCTTCGTTGAGCCATTTTCCGTGTGTGTAATGGCAGCTTGTTAACTGCAAGTGTTGGTTTATCAAATTTGATTACTGTCACTCATCAGATGAATTTGCCCGGCAGTGACTAACTGACTACAAATTCAACTAATTTGCTTTGGGAAACATCAAATATTAGAAGAAACAATTGATTTTGCATGCTACATGTACATGTTTTTCACTTTTAAATTGGTTCTGTTCCAAATAGCCCCAGATTTAGACCACCATTTTAAAGAGAAAATGGAATATAAATTAGATTAATGCGTGAAAAATGTTTTTGTCTTCATTTAATTCCTTTTTAGTATATCAGTTTGCTTTTACCTTTTAGTTTTATGACGAGAAATTTGTTTTTTTGTTTTTCTGAAAAGACATTGATTTATGGTATCAAGGGAGATGAAAAATAGAATGATGATTTATTGGAATTTATCTAGGATTACAGACATGTTTTAGCAAACTTTCAACAAACAACTTTAGATGTACATATTGGTCTATCCTTTGATGTTCCTCTTTTAGGGATACTCAACAGTTATCAGATGATCAGGCTTGGATGTTTATTTATCTGTGTCACTCAGATTACTTATTAAATTTGAATGTGTAGAACTCATTATGTAATCTTTTTTTCCCCTTAAACTGACAATTTTTTGGATATTTATTTGATATTTGTTTTTAAAGAATGCCAAAACGCGCCAATAGAACCGAATAAGAATTTGGATTCTCATAATCAAATACTGGGACTGTTAGCAGATGGTGGTTTGAATTGGTTGATAATGTAATATCTTACATGGTCCATCAAGCTAAAAGCAGATTTTGAGATGCCCCAAGCAATATTTGACATTCTAGAGAAACCTAGAATCATTTTAGCGTTAATGGGCTATTTAAATCAATTAGATTGGAACTAAAAATAGTTGAGCAATCTTGTACAGTATTATTTACTATACTGACCAACATCACCACTTTTTTATTTGACCTATTCTTCCTACAAACTATAAAGGTATACGTAACAGTTATAATTGAAGACAAAGTTTTTCCAATTTCAACAAAATTTGATCTTTAACTTTATTCTTCAGGTTAAGAAAGTGAAATTTATAATATAGCCTAAATCATATATTGATGATTTACTCCTGTACAAGGAATTATGATTTGTAGTCAATAATCCTTTTATTTCTTGAGCCAAATTTTTCTGATTAGGGTCTGTTCTTCGATTTTGTTCTTTACAGATCAATTGATTTCCAAATGCTTGTCCTGTAACCTCATTATTTTGGATCATCCCATTAAAGTTTTATGACCTTGAATGACATATTACAGTCAAATAAGAATAAATGTGCTGGGTTAACATGAAAAAAATTTTGATGTGCCAGTATCTATCACAGAACTTTAAGATCAGTCAGAGATATTTACATCCAATTATGGGTAACCTTAGAGATGATCTTTGCGTGTTTCATTGGCATAACAACTTAAGTGGAAGGGTAGTTAAAATCAAGCAGGAAGAAAAAGGACAATCCTCTTACATTCTTTAGAACTAATCTTCATCATAAATCG